GATTTTCCTTCTACATCTTCTCCTACATTTCTGTGAAAAAGGTTAAACTTTGTCCCTATCTGACATAGTTTTTTTTAACCACATCCGATCTCATTGTTACATCAGTAATCAGTTTTATCTCTCTCTCTCTCTCTCTCTCTCTCTCTCTCACCTTTATGTTTGTACAGCTGAATAGGGTTGTCATTGGCATTACAACTACACAATTATGCTTCCCTTGATCCAAGACTCAAATTAAAAAGTAAAAAAGAAGTATCGATGAAAAAACCAGACTGAAACTGTAATTGTTTTATCTTCATCATAACTAGATACAGCGCATGAAACTTTCGAAACTTCATAAACGTTTCTGCAATTATACATGAGCTTTTTCGGTCTCCAGTGATTATCCACGCTACACGAGCAAGCTAGAAGAAACAAAGCAATTTTGGCAGTCCTGTAATTGTGATTGGAATGGTTGTTGAAGACCTACTTATATGTGTATCATTTCAGTATTTTTTTACAATGAGTTTCTTTATCTACCTGGTATATGTATAGGGGATTTTCTAGTATGCATTAGTGTATAACATCCACCGACACCCGTGACTGTAGGATCCTTGGATGCACATCTAACACCCTATTTAACTGGTGTTTGTCAGTTGTCATACACCAGAGCATAGTTGAATTTTCTTTTCAATAGTTCACAATATTCCAGTAAGTTGATCATCTAGTTAGCTGGCTTTAACTTTTGTCATCAACACATTACACTGGATTTGGTAAAAACCCATTGTTCCTTTTCTCTGTCACATTGCTTCATATGTACTGTTTCAGCAAAGTATAGTTTCGTTGGCAAAGCTTGGTAACGTCTTCAATTATAAATTGAATATGGCCGATTCAGCAACTATATGATATTTGGAAAATTGAAATCGATGGTAATGATGGATGCAGTATATATTAATAGCATATTGTGAGCAATTTATAACAGCCAAATGATGAATTGCATTCAAGTCTCACACATGTTCACAGGCACCATGCTTTAACTACTTCATTACAACTTAACATATTGTTACTCTCACATTTACTGAATTCAGCATTGATATCTTTGAAATAGAATCTGAAAACCGAATAGTTCGGATTGGTTTACACACCGAAAATAATTAGATGTCCTTAAATTTCTAAAATAAGAACAACATTATTAACCAGAGTAGTGCAGAGGAAAATGGAAGTGCAATGAATGTCTTAACAAGGCCTCTTGCTAACTAGCTAGCCAGGACCATGTCCACGCAAATCACTTCAGAAGAGGCCAGAACAATTAAGGAGGCATGCATTGGCTCTTCTGGAGTAGAATTAAATTAACAAGGCCGCACTAATTTCTGTACCTAGTTATCAGGAACTGGGGCACCATAGATCCCTTTCCTTCCATCAATAGGGTAGGGGCCGGGGATTCAAACTTTATCGTAGCCTCTTCCGACTTAAGAAGAAACCTAACCCTAGACTAAGAATTAGGGGGAATTCGAACTTTGTTGGAACTGCTTTCAACGTAAAAAGAAACCTAGACTTAGAGCTAGTTGGTCAACCTATAGCTCGTTTATGAAAATAACCGAGTTACTCAAATCAAAACTTAAACTTGAACGGAATTAAAATAGTAGATGCTTGGGGAAGTGACCTAGATGCAGTTGAGATGAAAGTCCAAATGTATTCAATCAACTTAGGCTATAAAGCCAGTTATCACTTTATTACTGGTATCCTGACTTATCTATCAAGTTTTTTCAGACCAGATAAACCACTGCACTAAGTCATATACATTGAGAATAAAAAATGTCCTATATCTTCAGATTGAGTGAACGTGAGATAAGTTCTCTCTAGCGTAATAAAAAAATACGGACCATTTGCAGCCAGTTATCACAGTAGATTTAAGGATCATTCTACATTATTAGCAAGTTAGTCTGAAATAAAAGGGTATTTATACCATATAATCCAAACTGCCACTAGGACGGACACATAAGACATCTGCTAAAGCAAACACAAGACAAAATGTTAGAATCCAGAAGAAGAGCATGAGTTGACGTTTTTAAAAGTTGCACGAGTCATGACATCCATCTACAGCATCTTAAGACATATATATAGGGTTATATATACAGTTGAATATATCGATACACTAGCATCAACAAGCAATGGAAGAATATGTAGTGAAATGGTTTAGCAGATGATACTACCTAGTGTTGATCAGTGGCAGAACAATCCAGTTTAAAATGGCAATGGCTAATTAATCTCTTAAGGAAAAGTAATGAAGGAAAAGCCTGTGTGAAGAAACGATGGCTGAAACATATATATTTTCAAACCATGACGGCCAACGGAAAGAGGTACGGCATAGAGAAGCAATACCTTTGCCACCGTGTGTTGGGATTTGACCGATCGACCAATCAAGCAATATTATCAGGTTGAAGTGATTGCCTTTTCATATCAAGTGAAAGTGATCAGCAACAACGATAAATGGCAACTTTCTTGACCATTATATATAGGTACTACTTAAGGTAGGTCGTACCTTCTCATGATGATCGATCTCAGCATATATACTAGAGGTTCACCAACAACTATACCATGATAGCATCTAAAGTGGTACAAATATATAGGCACTAACGGTAATAATTCATAAACACACAAATACACACACACACACACACTCCTTTTATATAAGCATCATTCCATATTAACTTTTTCTAAACTACCGAAAAGAGAATCAAACTCAAACATAGGGTGTAAAACACTATTCTAACAATCTTAATTAAATCTAGATTTGCAAAAGCACATATATAAATACACAGTAAAACCAAATGATAAAGAAAACTGCACTCTAGATTGGGCATAAAGCAATGATATATTAAAACGTTTTACAGCAAATGAAAGGTGAGAAATTCTAATGCATGTTAGATTAGTGGGTGACATTAAGACATGAAAAGTAGTTGGATCATGACCCGTGCAGCGCCTTTAGTCACTCTTTTAATTTATAGTGGCAAAAGGGTTGGTCTATTAATTGGATGTATCCAAATCCCCGTGAGAGCACCCATCTGTAAATCTAACCAATTCTTGCATAGATGACAGTTAAAAATATTCTCGGTTTGGATCTTAGTTACGACCATGAAAGATTAAAAAAAGCTTTAGTTGTCTCTGATATGTAATAATCCAAAAGAAAAGAGAAAGGAGCCAAACAAGACCAGCACACACATGTCCTTGCCAGTGAAAAATATGGATGACCTTTTTTTACACACTTCGTTTACATTACCATAGTTGGCAAAATATAACCCTAATTTCTTCAGCAAGGTTTCGGTTCCATGAACTTCATTAATTTTCTCCTCTGAACCATTAAACAATCAAATAAGGGAATGATTTCCGCACAAATCTTCTTTTTCTTACTTCACACCACTATTTAAGTGTGCAAAGTGAGAAAATGGGTGAGTTGGAATCATTTCTCGTCAAATTATTTGCTCCAAAGCTTAGCTTGAATGAATAAGCTAGACAGTAATGAAGCACGAGTTGAAAAGATGAAAAAGGCAACACAGACCTTTGTGGTCCAGCGGACATTCAATAAACCAACTGAAATTGTTGTCCTAGAACAAATTTGAGTAGTACTTAGTCCTTGCTAAGCCCTAAAATAAGTTATATCTTTGTGATAAGCAAAACCAATAAAAGAAAGACTAGCTAGCTGTTTAGCTAAATCATCAAGGTCCACGTACTTTAATTACACGCACAGGGAATTGAAATAATTTTATGTAGCAAGGGCCGGCAAGGCAGATGAGAAACGGATGCAAAGTAATGACCCTGAAAATGATTCATACTTTTTTTTTTCTCGCCCTGCACATTAGGGACGTGCAAAATAAGGAAAGGAGTGTTCGATCATCATTTCCCAAGAATTAATCGCGGTCACATATATGAATTATGAGCATGAGCTAAGATAGATTTTGACCCCTATGGAATCTGAGAGTCGCATGTACATGTATGCATATAAAGTGACTGCACTCTATCTGAACTCTCTCTCTGCCACTTTATCAACCGACACTAGGGTATAGAGTTACAGACCCATAAGCATGTAGGATAATGTAGCACGTTAATGTTTGAAATTATCAAATCTTAATTAGCATTTGAATCGAATCCAAAGGAGATATATCGCCTGCAATACAAGGAACCAAGACATATGCAAACAATATAAAGCAAGATTAACTAAACAGTTAAACCAAGTCCACTGATAATTAAACAATATAATTAAAAGACAAGAATCTAATCTTGCTTGCAGGAGTTAATATAAAATATATCAATCATTAAGCAGAATATAAAGTACAAATGGATCAGAGATCGAACTATAAATCAAGAATGTTCTCTGAAGTCTCGATCCGAGAGAGGGGGAGTTACCAGGTGAAGATTTCTCCTCAAAGAACAGCATTGTAATTTGTCACCGCTGAAACAACTCACAGAGGAGATCAATCAAGCACTAGGGGTAATAAACATATCGGAAATTTTGTATAGGCAAAACTCGTGATTGTGTTCTATTTAATTTGTCAGAAATATGTCAGATCCCCAGGTAAGGACAGAAATATATCAGATCCCCAGGTAATCATACATGAAAAACTCCAAAAACTTCGAATAAAATTAGGGTTGAAATCATTTTCCATTGTAGCATGGTTTACAAAACCATCACCTACTTAAAAACATCACAGACTGGTTCTTTTTATGGGAATCGAGCAATAAATCAACTTAAAATCATGTTTAAACAATCAATCACTTATGCGTGGATAGCATAAAAATCATGTTGGAATACAATCATGAAAGATTGAAATTTTTTCTTCTGGTATTTGAGCAATAAATAAACTTGAAATGATGATGAAAAATCACTCACTTATCAGTGAGTCAAACTGTGCAAAATTACAAAAATAGGTATAGATGTTTAGGGTTCATATAATATCTAAGAGAAGAGGAAACGATCAAGAAAATATACCAAGTTATGAGGGACAATGGAGATCCATTATGTGAGCGAATTTTATTGAGCCTATCTGTATCTTCCCACAGCTTTATTGAACCGCAAACCAAGTTAAGGGGAATAGAGATACTGAGTCGACTCACTCCAAAGATCGGTCGATCTCGCCATAGATGGATGCAGTTCAAGAAAGCTGTGGAAGAATACAAAGAGGATCATCATCTTCTATGCATTTTAGAGAAAGAAAGAGAGGGAAACGCCAAGGCTATGGATATCTAGAGAGAGAGATAAGATGGCTACGAAGCTTCGGCCAATCAGCGAACGACAGGAAGAGCAAAACCCCAAAAGCGGAGATGCAGATGCAGATGCAGCAGCAGAAAGGGTTAGCCTGTTAGGCAGAGGAGGAGGAGGTAGAGCTGTAGGTTTAGGAGAAGGAGAGGTTGGTATTTATAGTAAAAACTGGAGGGTGTCTCTTTTTTTGTATTAATTTTTTTTCCTTGTATTTTTATATTTTTTACCATCAATCCCGAGAAGAATATTGGGCCTGAGATTTTACAGAGTCACAGATTACACTGTACTGACCTCCACCCTTTTATTTCAAACCCTATTAAAAGCTGACTACGTTCGATACGCATCAATAGTGGCCCTGGTTATTAAGAAAAAAATAATAATAAAAATGATTTAAAAATTTTAAATTTTAAGGATAAGGATAAAATAAAGAATAAATTGAATAGTACAATAATTAGCTTTTTAATGTAAAAATATAATTTTTCGTTAAAATAAACAGTACTGACAATTTTTCGTTAAAGTTTCTTTAAAAAAAAAGGTACTCCCTTTATTTAATAACAGCTAATTAAGTGAAAAACCGATCTTAATAAAAATACGTGCGGTTGGATGCAAGTTGGCGGATCGGACGGTGGCTGGTTACCCTAGTGGAGGCAGGCTATTGGGACCCCTTTCCAGATCTGTCTCTTTTATGTATCGGTGGAAAGGTTTTGTTTGCCTGACTTGCTGTAAAGCATGTGGGTTGCACTTAGCAAGTTTTTACCCTAAACCCTAATCAAAATAAACTCCACAGTTTTTTTTTAAGGAAGTAAGTATTTCATTAATCAAATAAAATAAGAATACCAATACAAGTTCATGATTACAAATGCAACATAAAGATAATACAAAACTTATTCCATATAATAATACTTAACCAAATAAAGTACGCTCACAACATCAAAACTTTGCATCACTTTCTAATAAATTTACAAAAGATGCAGCATCTTCGGCAAAGAAGGCATGCTATGAGACATCACGAAGATGTCCTCATTGTCCTTTGCCAAACAAACAAACAACGAAACCACAACTTAAACAAAACAAAAACACAACACAACACATAGGTATGATTCCTCTATCATTAGAAACCGGCCATATCTAACCAACATAAAAGATAAGCTCACAAGACCTAAGTTGTACGAGCCGGACCTAACACCTTCAAAACACATGAGCTAAACATCGTACCATCACATGAAGACTTTGCAGCATCAAGAAAACATGATTGTGAGTCCCTCAAACCACTACAACGACCCCAACAAAGGAAAGACCACACCCTTTGATGATCTTGCAATCGTCTACAAAAATACCCTGCTATTAATGACTTTCAACAAACTTTGAGCTTCCTCTACATAATCATTACCAGACACACAAATTAAGCACAAAATCACCATCTTAGACTTGAACAGCAATTGTCGTTTTAAGATCTGGGGTTGAGCAGTAAGTCAAAATCACTACAAAAGCTCTCCTCCTTAGAAAGAGAGAGTGGCCACAACCACAAAGACTCTTTTCGACAAAGTGGTCACTACAGAAAAAACATGAAAATAAAAGAAGGAAGGGATATATAAGGATTACCGCCGACCTTAGAGGCAAAACTGGAGTCGCCGGTGGCAGTTTTTTTTTTTTCTCCTCTTGCGCCTAGGGTTTGTTGGGACGCTTCTAATTAGGGATTTAAAAATTCTATTTTGTTTCAAACCCAAAAAATAAAATAAAATAAAAATCTATTTTGTTTCTTCATTCCCTTACTTTCCCCCTTGTTTCATTTGCGGAAAGGTATTGAATCTATTGATCGGAAACTAACATGTAAGTTTTTTTTTCCTGGATGTAAAATGGAAGGTAGATTTCTCGTGTTTGGGTAATGCTGGGAACGTAAGCGGTGAATGTTGTTTTTTTATTTATTTTCTTTTTCATGATTGATTTATCCATGAATTAGAAACAAATTCTGCTTAATTTTCCAATTATATATTTTTCAACAAATTCTGCAAATGGTGTTTCAATGAAAAAGGAAAATCAAATCCAAACTTGTCGGAGAGTTTCGCTTTCTCGCTTATTTTCCTATAAGGGGGTGAGAAAACCACTCAAAATTGAATTTACTAAACAATGGGTTTGTATCTCCGTTTGACTTTGGCTCATGAGGCGACGGTTTCATGTATATCTATATATATCTACATATATATATATATATATTATATATATATATATATATATATATATATATATAAAGTGAGCACCTTAAAATGGTGAAACATTCAAAATACCATGAATTGTCCTTTAAGAATTTCATAAATTACAATTGAACCAAAAGAATCTAAAGTATTTAACCATATTTTTATCTATATCTATATATATAAAGTGAGCACCTTAAAATGGTGAAACATTCAAAATACCATGAATTGTCCTTTAAGAATTTCATAAATTACAATTGAACCAAAAGAATCTAAAGTATTTAACCATATTTTTATTTTGAATGAATTTAATATTTAAAATTATAGGGAAAAAACAAAATAAAAACAAAAAGAATCTAAAGTATTTAACCATTCAAAATACCATGAATTGTCCTTTAAGAATTTCATAAATTACAATTGAACCAAAAGAATCTAAAGTATTTAACCATATTTTTATCTATATCTATATATATAAAGTGAGCACCTTAAAATGGTGAAACATTCAAAATACCATGAATTGTCCTTTAAGAATTTCATAAATTACAATTGAACCAAAAGAATCTAAAGTATTTAACCATATTTTTATTTTGAATGAATTTAATATTTAAAATTATAGGGAAAAAACAAAATAAAAACAAAACTTCCCACGTTAGTGGGTGGTTTCACCTCATTAATTCATTTCTTCTTTTTCTTTTTAAATAATTTTTTTTAAATTTGTAAATTAATTATTTAAATAAAAAAATATAAAAATGCCAATTACCACACACGTATGCGTGCGGCAAGAGGCTAGTATAATATAACGATAATGAATCGATTACAAATTCTGGAATGACAGCTTGACTCTATCCATAAACTTGAAGAGTGAAGAGCAACACAAGTTAGGTAAAAAACATAGACTTTTCAACCCAAAGTGTCGAGCTTGATTCGTTCTGCCGCTAATATCGCTTTTATAACAGCAAAACGTGAATATGAGGTAATTCCTTTTGAAAAAGCCTATCTTATAAAAACAAAACAATAACAGTAATTCTCAAAATCTCAGACCTATTTGGGGGAGGAGCCTCTTGATCTAATTTGAATATTTAAACAACTGACACCTACACTATAGTACAACTTTTCCAATGTGGATGTGGTCCAACGAGTATATATACCCTTCTTTTGATTAAACGATCTATTTATGCACATAAATAAACCATCAAGTGATTATTCTGATAAAAATTCAAATGAACATAACAAAATAAATATATAAATTAAAATGTTAATGAGATTATTTCAAAAATGGAACTCTCTGACACTTCATGTTTTGAGCATAATAGTTTACAATATTAGTACAAAAATTAACGTTAAACTATAAAATGAGAGATAGTTTATGAAGAACCTCACTTTTGAGATAATCCCTCTATAAATTATAGTAAAAATGAAATTGCAGTCGAAATTAAAATAAAAGAAGTGTGGAAAAATAAAAATTGGGAGGAGTCACATGGCGGCATGTTGGGGCGACCCCACCCGTGGGAAGGTGTGAAAGGGTATGTGACAGTAGTACACTCCCGTTTTTCACGGAACGGAGGTCGCTTTGTTGGGTTGTTCTGGCAGAACACGATGCGTTCCACTCTGTGGAAGCTCCTAAACCTTAACAATGGGTTGGTGTGCAGGTTAAGGCACTATGCACACACCCCTCGTCCCGAGAGCTTCTTATATAACACGAATACACCATCATCGTTGTGATACAAACTCCACGTAAAAATAAATTTGCGTATATCATCGTGGTATCATAGAAACTTTCTTTCTTTTCCTCTTTCACATTGGATTTATGATTTGTGATCACTAATCATGGGATTGAGGCTGTCTCCGGATCTCATACTCTGAAACCTTTAAATCCAGCAATTCGTACCGTTCAAGAGTGAGAGGAAGATATCTGAACATTAAAAAGAGATTGTGTGTGAGGCAAGCAAGAAAAATAGGGAAATGGAGACCGCATTTAAATTGAACAATCTACGAACTCTGGAGTGTGAGATCTTGAGAGGATCTTAATTCTGATCAGGGATGCTATGTTTTGTGATTATGCTATGGGGTCCTCCAACGTGCATGTTTAAGTATTTAAAACCGTCTTTAAAGTTAAAAACACAAATCCTAAGAGATTGATAAAAGAAAAAAAAACGATTTTAAAGCTATAAGCAGCTGGCACTCACTGATTAATTCTTTCTTAATCATCTTTTCACCGAAATTAATCTATCATAATTCATCACTTGTCATTTGTCAATTCCTTTTTTTATTTTTTTTGGTAAACCATTTGTCAATTCTTTTGATGGTAGTCTTCAACCACCTGTCTTTCTCCCACTATTTGATCCACTTTTGCTGCATCATTCATCACCCTGGGCCTGCACAGATATTTCGAGCAATTGGGATTGGGATTGGAATTGATTAAGATAATATAAAACTAATTTGTATTTTCTTTTGTCCAACCATTTTATTGTTCTTATATTTTTTTTCTTCTGAATAAACGATAGTGTCTGCACTAATGGGGTAAAGAAGTGGGTTAAGCCTCACAATGAGATATCAATAATGTAGTTCAAATTTGCCTTTGGCGAGAATCGAACCTAAGACCTCTCACTTATCAGTGAATATGAATATTATTAGACTATAATACTAAGTGGCATTGTTCCTGTTTTTTTCGTTTAATACGATAATACGTATCTTGTTTTGTACAGTTAACATGGGATACATAGCATAGTGTTGTAGAGTAACA